TCCAGTTACGTGAGCACTGATGTCATGTTCCATTGGAAGGGGAACTAAGAGCGACTTAAATCATTAAGTATCCATGCCATTTTATAAAATAACTAGTATCTTTGATGGTTAACTGTGTCTTTGAGGAAGATAAATCAAGAATGACAAAATAGTTGGCTGATTGATGTTATCAAAATTGCTGTATTTAGAATCTGCAGCCAAATCTAAGTCAAGGTTCCTCAGTCCTGGAGAACTGAGGAAAATCAATGACCTCAGATGAGGGAAGAAAAGGGAATTGCTTATTTTCAACAACTTGTCACTAATCACCTTGGCTCTCAATGTGCAACAAACCACAGTTGTGTACGCTCTAACTGTGACCCTTTCAGAAGCATTGTCACAGAGAACTCCCACCGCACTGTTGTCTTCCTAGAGATTTCAAAAGATCATTGATTTTCACCACATTTCACAACAATAGCTTCTATTTAGTGATTGGGGGAAAAGCACACTTATATTTTTCAAAATCAGAATGAGTGCATTTTAATAACATTAGCATCTTCGGCACAGTGGTTTGCCCTTATCTAAATGCTGTCTTCCGAACACCTGAACTGAAATACTGAAAATGAGACAAGACCTGGGGGTGTGGCTCACTCAGTTAAGCACAAAGCCCTGAGTTCCATCCCCAGCACCACACAAACTTTACATGGTATTGCATGCCAGAAATCTCCAGAACAAATGTTTTAAAATGGACTTGCTTACTAGATTGCAGACTGAGTGTTGTGCAGGAGAAGTCTGTACTCAGTCCCACGATGCCTGCATTTGTTTTCAGAACTCCTAGTACTGGGGTGTTTTTCTGAGACTGCTGCCTGTGTATGAAACCTTGCCTTTAAGGGTTTTGGCCTTCTAAGATCCTCAGGAGCATAGATTTTTCCTTCCCTAAGGATGCCAGATTTAGCAAATGAAAATATGGGACTACTGTTTAACTTATATGTATACTTACAGTGCATATATATATATATGTGCATTATATATATATACATTTGCATTTCAGATCAACGATGAATAATTTCTAGCATATGCATATATTAAATATTGCCATATTTATACTCAACATTATTGGCTGTCCATCTGAAATTAAAATTTAACTGAGCATCTTGCATCATCTCTGCCAACACTTCCACCACCAAAATTGAGCCAACCGTGTTCTGGCTAATTAGGTACAGATGGTGCCAGTGTGTTTTGCTACCCTGTTTACAGATGAAGATTAGTTAACTGCCAAAGGTCTGAGATTTTGATTGAATGTGAAGGTCTTTTGAAATTGGAAAATGTCTCTGTCATTCAGAGAGCCCAAGTGATGATATTTTCAACAAACCAACAACTCAGAAATATCACTGGTCTTTAAAGTAAACCAAACTCAATACAAACCTTTTGGTATGAAGTATACTCCCCTGGGACACTGAGAGCTCCAGTTTCTGAATCACAGACTTGTGGTCAAAGTGTGGACTCACAGTGAGACTGGATTGTGAAACTTTTTGACACGAGTCCCATTGTTAAATAACTTGGTTCCAAACCAAGCAAGAGTCAGTAATTTCCTTTGTCTGGGATGAGATTCCCATTAGGATAATAATGAGCAGGAAAGTCAACAAGGACAGGAATTCCAACGGTGATGGCAGGTGAATCACACTAAAGTCCATTAATCATCCAGCCTATCACGGAGACCGAGGCAATTCCAAATTAATTTTTTTAAGGAAAGAAAAAATAGCCAGTGTGAAACCAGAAACACACGTTATCCTGAACTTAGCACCGAGTTCAGAATGTGCCTTCTATATTTCTATGCTGTCATCGCCATTTAAGAGAAGATGCCTTTGAGTGGTGAGAGGTGGAATACTTGATGCTTTCATGAGAGGGAGATTTATTTCGGGGAAATGTTGTAGATCCCACAGTGATGCCTGGGTGCGAAGCAGTGCTGCTGGGAGTCATAGGAAGATAGGAATTAAGGAAAGCAGCCGGCCTGGCCTTGGCCTTGCTTGCTTCACACTTACTGACTTCCTCTTTGTAAGCTCCCAGCTAAGCCCGGTTTGCAGTCTCATTAAATAAACGCACGACATAAAATATTGGGTTCCTCAGCAAGGACTGTCTGCTAAAAGAGATGCCTTCCACCAGGCTCTGATGCACTTCGTGGTGCTGAGTCCAGCAAATCCCAACACCCCTCCCTGCCTGTCCTCTCCCTTCACCGTTTAAACCATCTCCTCTGTGTTTGAATTAATCTCAACAGGAACAGCCAGTGAGATTGCCCGAGCCACTTGGAGAAATTCATTTCCTGAAGAGAGCATTTGGGACAGTGCATTTGGGGGAAAGTAACACAATAGGATTCACAGCCTTGTCATGTCTGCACCCCCCCAACCACCCCCAGACATAAATTTTCCTGTTTTACTCGTCATCTCACAACAATGCATGCCCAAGCCATGCTGTGATTAAAGGGGAGAATATGCTTATTACCCAAGCAAGTTCCTCACATGTTGGAGCGAGCGAGACCAAGGGTGGTAAACCAAAGGAAGTTTCCGTTCGCTTTTGGCGGCTGCACATTCTTAGTCTATAGGAAACTTAGCTGTTATTAAGTAAAAATGTTCGGATGAAGTTGGTCACTCGTAACAACAGACAGATGTATAATGTTTTATTTCGGTTAGCCAGCTCTCTCGCAAATAAAGGGCCTGAAATTAAACTGTCTTTACAAAAATATTCAGCAAATGATAACTCTGACTTAACGCTGCCATGGAAAATGGAAAATAAGCTGAACCTGGGATCTGTTTAGACTTGCCTTTGCTGAGTGCAGAAAGGTTGATGTTCTCTGGAATAGAAAACAATCAAATCAGGAGTCTGCATTTAGAAGTAAGGGCGTAACTATGCAAACCACATTTAAGGGTGGAAAAGGAGCTTTTTTAGGACTTATGGAATTTGAAACAATAATGATGGAACGGAGACATAGAGAAAAGGTTAAATGTTTGAGCGCAGAGGCAAGTGGGTTCATTACACATTCGCATGCAATGTGAGATCTGGGATTAGTCACCGAAGGTCACTTGCTGCCTTTCCCATGTGTAACAGGGTGACAGATAAACTCCTCCAATTCAAACCACCATTGCATTCTGTTGGGGAGAGGAATTCTAAGACTGGACTTCTTGGGAAGGGCCTCCAGAAATTCTGTCTTGTTAGCCCAGGTGTGGGACCTGGAACTCTGCATTTCCAATGAGCTCCTCAGGACTTCAGCTGATTGCAGGGAGGGCCTGCACTTTTCAGGCTGTGCTTTCTTCAGAATCCACTAAGGTAGATAGCTCACCTCCAGATAGTTCATGTTAACCAAGAGGCATGCCTGCCCATGGAAGGGACTACGAATCACAAACTTGTTTCAAGCCTGAAGCCCATCAGTTACTGGGTGAAGAACCTTAAATCTCAGCTTTTTGAATCATCTTTCAGATGAAAAGTGCAGGCTTTAGACCAGATCAACACTCCTCCAGAGTGTTTCCAAATGGCAGACAGAGAGAGAAGATGCCTTTGCTCAGGTGTGATGGGCCTTGCCCTGCCAGGCCGTCGGCCAGAGCAAATCAAATGGTCTCTGGCACGGGAAGTGAAACACTTCACCACAGCAGCAGTCCTGGGGAAGGATGCTTTACAAACAGACTCAGACATGACCATGTGTCTCTATATGGTTAAGTAAGTTGCTTATCTATGGAACTCCTAGCAACCTGTAAAACACAGAGGGGCAGTGAGACCTTCCAGAGTGCGGGGGCTTAGCTGGCAAAGCATCCTGGAATTGCTTGCCACAAATTCATCTGACTGTACTGTACCTGAGCAAGATGGTGCTCGGGTTCTCCACCCCTGGAACCCAGGCTGTCTCTGCAGAGCAGGCCTCCAGTTCAAAGCACTGCTACTACCTAGGAGCTTAGACCTTCAGAGGCTGCACCTCAGCCATTCCCCTTCTTCTGGAACTTTCCGGGTGATTCTGATGTCCAGGCAAGCTAGAGAATGAGTGTAAGAGAAACCATAGGAAGGGACTGGAGTCCCAACCAATCCTTGCCCTTATCACAATGTCCTTATCTAGAAGTTGGGAATAACAACAGGTCCTACTCAGAACCTCTGTGAGGATTGAATTATACATAATCCTTATGTAAGACCTGGCAGAGGATAAACAGACCCACTGCTGATTATTTGCTCTATGCTCTATGGCTCTTTATGGCCTTAAGGCAACCGTGCACTGAGCACCGACGTATTATGTGCTTTCAGTCACAGGGCACCATGAGAACAGATGTGTAAACTGTGATGGTGGTGCAGATAACAGGCCAGTGCCAGAGGCTGACAGATCAGGTTCTCCTATCAAAGTCCTCTGTCTTCTGGCTTTAGTGTGTGTGACTGTGTCTGTGTCTGTAATTTCTCTAAGTTTAAATTTCTCATTTAGAATATAGAAGTCTTTTCTTCAGCTGGTAGAGAGAAGGATTAAATAAAAATGATGTTTTAGAAAGTGCTTCTAATCAACCCTCCCACCCCCTCTGAAGTGAAGTCAGTCCACGATGCCAGTGTGTTTATGAGATTACAGATCATGAGACCACTAGATCCAGGGGCTTCTTGCTCAAAGGAAGTTTGGACTGAGGGGATGGTTCCACCTTGAACTGAGGGGATGGTTCAGTCTTGCCTGAAAGATTACCCTGTGTGCTATATCTAAATACTGACTCTGAAATAATGCAAGAAAAATCACTGTCCTTTCCTATCTGTCCTTAGGGATGAGACAAATCTTTCTTCCTACTGAAATCTTGTTAGATTTAAATTCTTTCTCAGTTCCAAGCCTCATCACGAACCAGCATTTGGATTTCCCCTTAAGGGTATTTCAGACTTTTCTTGAAATTCGGTATCCCTTCAGGCATGTGACCCAGAATACGAAGTATGAAGTGAAGTCTCCTCGGGGGCCAGCTTTTACTAGGCTTTATCTCAGAAACAAGAAACTCCAAAAATCCAGTGACTTTCTCCCGTTACAGGTGACAATGAGTCTGCTGTGGTCCGAGGAACCCCTTCCTCCCTCTCTCCAAATAAAGAGCAGGGCGATTGAAGGCAATGCAGGAGATTTACAAGACCCCAGTGTGTGCCCAAGGCCCCTGCTCTGGTGAGGTGGGTCTCTGCCACTTCCCTGTCCAGAAATGTCACAGGACCTCCCAACACAGGAAGTAGAAACAGTGCCCCAGGAAAAGATCCTGTACAGAGAGATGCTGGGAATAACCGGGATTCACATCCAATCGAACAGGATAACCAAAGCCTGCCACGGCTCTGCCTGTGAGGCTCTGAGTTCACTTGGAAACCGGGGCCGCTGACATAGAGGAAACCAGCTTGTTGAATATGCTAACGTGTGTGGGCAAAGCCACAGGAGTGAACCCGGTTCAGAACTCAGCCAGCTTTTGAAGCAAATGGTGGATTGTTTTGAAGACAAGGAAAAATCTGGCACATGGCCACAGGCAAAGGTCCCCCGGCTTGTGTTTGTGTGACCCGTTACAGGGTCCAAAGAAGGACAAGGCTCACTGATTGTATTTTCAATTGCTTTTAAACTCCTGAGCTCAGTGAACCCCAAACAGATTCTTGTTAAGCATTTTTTTCCACTTAATATTTAAGCCTGTGTATACTTAACATGAAATTTAATCTAGGTAATCTTTGGGCTTGGAGATCATCAAAAACCGGTGTGTCAGGAAGAGTTGATATCCAAGAAAGCTTTTCAAGCAACTTTTCTTACAAACAGGAAGTTAGTTTTTATCAGTTTAAAAGTCAAGTCCTCTGCATTCTTTTAGTCCAGAAAAGCAAAGTTATGACTTGACTCAGACTTTATTCCTTCACACCTCCACCGTTTTAAGAGCACATGCAATGAAGTCACTAGAGGCTTGGCTGAAAAACTCCAGTTTGGGGAACCCCTGCCTCCCCACTTTTTCATAAATGAAAAAACTGTGTATGTAATGTTTTCTGCTAGCGTGTGTGCCTTGTTTGCCTACCACGGAATGCAAAACGAAGTCTTTCTGGGGAAAATAGAAAACTTCCAAAATTCGACTTAATAGAACTCCAAGTTTTTAGGAAGTCCCAGTATTGTGCTAACTGGGAGGGAAGAATCATTCTACTTTAAAACTTTTATTTATTTAATTTCCTTTTATGCGTATGAGTGTTAAGCCTACATATATGAAAGTACACCCATGTGGTACAGTGCCCACTGTAGAGCACTGGCAGGTGTCAGGAGGGTGTCAGGAACTGGAGTTACAGTTGTTAACTGCCAAGTGGGTATCAAGATTCGAACCTGAGTCTTAGGGTATCAGGAACTGGAGTTACAGACAGTTGTTAACTGCCATGTGGATACCAGGATTCGAACCTGAGTCTTCTGCAAGAGCAGCCAGTGCTCTTAACCACTGAGCTTTAGCTCCCCCAATGATTCTTAAATTAATTTTTAAATTTATTTTATGTGTATGAGTGTTTTGCTTACATCTATGTAAGTGTACCTGTGCATGCAATGCCCACAGAGGCCAGAAGAGGGCATCAGGTCCTCTGGAACTGGAGTTACAGATAGTTGTGAGCCTTCACGTGGGGACTGGGAACCTGGGTCTTCTGGAACAGCAGCCAGTGCTCTTCCCTGCTGACCCACCTCTCCAGTCCCTGATATTTTTCTTAAGAAAGAGTCCACGTGGCAGGTGAAAAACCCTATTTTTGAGGCCTAGCTCCTAGCAAATATGATGTGTAAAAATTGTTATGGGAGTTGAAGATCTCTCTACACTTAATTTGGGCTAGAGTCAATTATATTACATTATAATGCATATTTAACATAAAATATAAGTAACATATTTATATCATTAGTGCAAATTAATTTGAGCTGGAATTATTTATATTATACAAATAACTAATATGTTACAATATACTTAGCATTATCTATTCAATATAAATTTGATAATATAAGATTCATATATAATCTATATGATTTATATAACACATATATAATAAATACAACCAATATGTCACAATTTCGACTAGACTCTTTCTGATTCTGGCTCTCAGCCACCGGGAAGGTGGCATTCATCTATAGGAACAGTGGAGCTGGAAATTCCTGAAGAAACAGCAGGTGTATTCAGCACCTGGGCCATAGCATACATCATGACTCAGGTGCTGACACGAGGCTGGGGATAAGGACGTCCCTCTAGGGGAAGGCTGGGCATCCCAGCGTGGTGGAAACAGCATGTGTCCCTGAAGCAGAAACTTCCAGCTCATTAGACATGCACATGGTCAGGCTCCAAATCTCCAGGTTTCGGTACCCGGAGCATTTCTGTCATGCTGCTGGAAGGCGCGGCTCAGGGGTGCCATTCTGCCACTTGTCAGTGTTGCCAGCTTAACCGAGTCACCCCTCCATAGCTCCTCTCCATGCCTCAGTGTCCTCTTTGGAGAAATAATGGTGGAGCTGGTGGAAAGCATGTGACTGACTAGCATATCGCTGTGGCCACAGTTACTGCTCTGAACCAGTGTCTCCGTTATTACCCGAGTCTTTATGACTTGAGTGTTTCTTTGCCTCATCTTTATTTATCTGTGTCTTTCCCAGTTTGGTGCCCTTCTCGTCCCACCCGTGCCTGCTATTTGCTTCTGTGTCTCTAACTGCCCCGTAGCTTCCTGGCCACTTAGGGGGCATTTGCTTTCCACAGGAAGAACACACCATTGCTTCTTGACTCCTTAACTCTTACAAAAGGCTCCCAGAGCGTTGTCCTCTGATGATGAATGAGGGACCCCTTTCCCTGCTTCCGTTGTTTCATCCCCAACAATGGAGGGCGGCTCTTCCAACACGCTTCATAAAGCCAAGCACCTTCTCCAGTGTGCCTGCTGTTTACGTTCATCCCCAAACTGTATTTTCCCCTTTATTTCCCAAAACAAATCGCGTACTACAGAAGTATGAATGACTCCACGCCGTGTGCCTTTTGTTGCATGAAGTAGCAAAGGGCAATACTGACCTCTAGTCAACAGTTTCAAGGGCATCAGTAAAGATATAACTATAGTCCCAGCCCATAAGCTTCACCAGCATCAAATCTCTGAGGACCTAAATGGTATTTCCAGAGACTAAAACAACATGCTTATGAGTTGAATGGAGTATTACTTATCTACGGTATTAAGAGAGGGGAAGTCACAGAACCCCTCTTATCATTGTCCCACTTTTAACTTGGAAGAGCTGTTAAGTTTCTTAAAACTTTAGAGATAAGCCATGATGGCAGAATCGCTAAGGAAAATCTCAAAGGCAGTGCCACAAAATGTATAAAATAAATGTGTATTGTCAAGAAGTAGATTTCTTAAAAGAAGCTTCCTTAAGACTAAGTACTGTGGATTAAGAACATACCCTTAATGTAAGCCAATGATGTGGATGCATACTAATGGTTGCAGAGCAGATTCCTGATCTCAGGAGAGCAGTGAGCATGGGTGGTCCCCAAGCCCTGCAGGACCCACTGGGACTCCTCCTATGTGAGGCTGTACGGGTTGAGCAATGGAAATACATTGACCATCAAGCAGTCATTACTGTGAATAAATGCAGATCTGAAAATCAATAGGAAACATATGTGTGCCTGAGGGTGAGAGAGAAAGATACCAACAGATAGAAAAACCAGATGACTTGGGCATAGATACACTGATAGAGAGTATAGGTAGTACCCAGATGATTGATGATATACAGATATAGTAGGTCAGTAGGGGTTATCTAATAGATGATCTAGAGATACTACATATATTATAGATGATAGGTAGTAAATAAATTATAGTAAGATGATAGATGATAAATAACAGACTGATAAATGATTATTAAATTAGAGAGAGAGAGAAGGGGGAAGGGAGAAGGGGGGACTAAGGAGAGAGTATTTCAGAAAAAGCAGAATGCAAAAATATCTTGAGTTTAGAGACCAATCACACACAGCAGGGGTAGGAACAGGGGAACTTTGTGTCTTAGGAAGAACACTGGTATAGCTTCCAAAGCCTTTGGGCCTCCTTCCTCCCTTAGCACCCAGCCGAGTAACCAAGCGCGGGCCCTTCCCTCCAGGCTTCAATGTCCTGCTCCACAGTCTGTGTCATTAGATGAGACCGCATTGACAGCCCTTGCTACCTAATGCTCTATGACTCAACATAAGCACTGCGTTTCCACAGGCGGTAGAACTATTCTGGACTCTTCCCCTCCACTATGCGCTGTTTACTTCCTGTGCACTTCCCCTTCCTGCCTTCTGCTCAATCACCGTGGCCTTGCTGGGGGTGGGTTGACCCTCTCTCACTAGCGCCTTCTGCCAATGAGCTCCCTCCAGGGGCTGGAGTCCTAGCACGGACGGTGGTGGTAGCAACAACTTCATTCTTGAAACTTCTTGGGCATTTAGCTTGTACTGGGCACCTTGCCAGATGGCCAGGGATCGGAAGGTAAATGCCACAGCAGTGACTTTGAGGGAATCCTCAGGGACCAGTTCTGCTGGGTGCTGTGGTGGTCACCTGTGAACAGCACGTGTCTGTCCCTCTTTTCTTTCAGGCAATAGCAGGATCCCATGGTAGCCAGGTGGGTGAAGGGGAGCCAGGACGTGCCACCTGCCCTGCAGAAGATTCCTGACCTGCAGAGTAAGTGACCAGGTAGTAAATGGCTCGGAGGGCAGAGGGGTTTGGAGGATAGTGGGGATGGGCAGTCCTGGGACCCATGTCCCTTGGCTGCTGTCTTTCCCTCAGATTGTGAACTCAGCACTTGCAGAGGCAACAGTTCTCACGTGTCTTGGGTCTCCAAACCCTCATGGACAGGAGGCACTATTGATGTCACTGACTCCAGAGCCAGGTGCTCAGGCCTGCAGCCCACAAGTGCTCAGCAGACACAGGAAAGCACATAGCTCATCTCAGGCCCGGTCCGCTCCCCAGAAGGACAGACAGAGAGGGAGAGACAGAGGCCCCATGCTGGTGCCTTCCTAGAAACAAAGCCTTAGTCCACAGAACCTGGAGAGGCTGTGCAGAAAGCTTTGCTCGTGTTTGTCCCCAGAACACTTGTGTTTCGCTTGCCCTGGAAAACTTAAGCCTTGTTTTGGTGTCAGTGGACTGAGCGGTATGCGCGCTCTCCAGCAGGTCTCTCCTCCGTCCTTCTCCTAAGTACATTCAGTCACTTGCACGTAAGCTGTGCTTGTCTTTGGCAGAGCCGCTGTCATTAGCTGGTTTCTACATTCAGGCATGGCAGCATGGCATGTCCCTTCCAAACCCCAGTGGGGCTATCTTCCTCCTTTGTGTGTACTGACAAGTGTGGATTTGAGAAGGCCAAGCCCACGCTCCCTGTGATTCCCCTGTCTTCTAAATGGACCCCAGGAAAAGTGGGCTAGGCTTCAAGAAGTTAAAAAAAAAAAAGTTCTGAATAACTTTGCAGCCTTTCTTTATGGTGAAAATAAAAAAGTGATCTTCCAAGAAAAAAAAAAAAAAACTCATTTCAAGGGCAGTCAGTAAGTGGTGCACCCTTCATAAGGAAACAGGAAGATTAAAGTGCCCAACAGGCCCATTATACCCTCAGCATTGCTGACTTCTGAAGGGTACCCTTGCCATTTCCTTGAAAGGATTTGCCTGAATCCGTTCCAAACCTTTTATTGAGATAATATCCCTTTCCCTAAAAGATTACTACCTGAATCATGCGCCACTGTATATCCATCTGTTCCTTTTCAAAAGGGGAATTTTTTCCTAACTCCTAAAATACAAATGAGGTTGGAAAAAAGAAAAACAAAACATGCCAACCAGGTAAAGTTACTTTGTAGTCACTGGCATCATGGTTTTCAAAGAATGTAGGAGCAATCCGTCTCTGTCAGCAGGCAGGTGCTCTAAGATGCGATGTGGCCTTGCAGCGGGCTTACTTGTGGCTGTTGGTGGTTTGGGCCAGGCAGAGCACTCTGGGACTGAGGCTGGGAGCCTAGGACTGCTTCTCTGGTAGGTGCTTTTTTCCTTTTTTTCTGCTACTATGTTAGATGACTATACTTATTTACCCTTTCATTTGTTCTTAAAATAGACTCCTTGGACCGACTCTATTTAGAGCTAAAGAATAAGGCAGAATTTTGTGTCCACCTAAATATCACACCAGAAATGACTTTGGTACCTTTGTCTAAGAATAACCAGCATATGACTTGAGTCACTAAGAAAGCTTAATTACTAGTTATTGCTTGTTATTTGGTTTTTCTTTGTCTGGTAATTGAGCAATTCCTAAATGTTATCAAAAACCAAGAGAGGTCAAAGATTCTGAGTTATTCATCGGAACAGGGAGGGAAGGGTACAAATGAATTGGTCCAAAGAATGCCAGGCAAAAAGTAGGTGTTAAAACGATTGATATTAATATTGCTTTGCCCTTTAAGGTTTGTAGCAATATTCCTCATCGCTATACCCAAAACTATTTTATTGGTGGGTGGTCTTACACGCTATCGGTTCTGAATCCAGTCAAGTAATTAAGAATAGCTTTTCTATCATATGGCAGCCAGACATGATGGTGCACACCTTTAACGCCAGCACTCGGGAGGCAGAGGCAGGCAGGTCTTTGTGAGTTCAAGGCCAACCTGGTCTACATAGTGAGTTCCAAGCATGCATAGTGAGACCCGTCTCAAGAAAAAAAAGTTTTTATTTTGTATTACGGAAAATTCTGATAACTGACTATAAATAGATACTAGTGACATTTTGTAAAGCATACCCTGTGTTGTCGCAAAGAAAAGCAGAGTGAGGTTGGGTTGTGGAGTGCGGCTTTGCTTAGGTGCTCGTGCAACCAGCACAAGACCCTGAGGAGGAGGAGGGCGTACTCCCATTTTACAGACTAAGTAGTTGAGGTCTAAGAAAGTCGAAAGCTTGCTCTGGGTCACACAGCGAACCAACTGCAAAGTGAGCGTCTTCCCTGCTCACGTGTCTCCAGAGCCTGTGCTCCTTGCTCAGCTGTCCCCAGCACAGGCCAGCTAGTCCGGCTTCACAGTTCCACTTTCTTTTATCCACATTCAGCCTCCCTCCATCTCTATGAGTTCTATACCTGGGGGTCCACACAACTGTGGGTTGAAGATGAGCAAAACAGCACAACTAATTACCTAGCTTGCACACTGAGTTGTTTTATAAGCCATCTAGAGATGATTTAAAGGGTTGGGGGTGATGTGCACAGGTTATATGCAAATACTCTTCACATTTCCTCCAAGGGAATGTTAGGCATCTGCAGAGTTTGGTATCCACAGGGCATCCTTAGATAATGTCTCTCTTAGTTTTGGTTCCTGTTGCTATCATAAAATGCTCTAACAAAAGCAACTTGGGCAACAGTGTTGGGGAGGCTGGAGAGACCAGTTGGTGATGAAGAGCCCTTACTGCTCTTGCGGAGGACTGGAGTTCTGTTTCCATCACCAAATCTAGGCACTCACAATTGCCTTTAACTCCACCTTCAGGGGATCTGATGCCCTCTTCTGGCTTCCATAGGCACCCTACCCCCGTATGCAGACAAATAAAAATAAACCTTTGGGAGGGAAAGCACCTCAGGGGAGAAAGGGTTTATTTAGCTCTGAATTCCAGGTCACGGTCCATCATGGCGGGTACATCATAGCAGCAGAGCCAGAGCCAGCGGGCCCCATCCATCTTAAGACACAGACAAGAAATGCATACATGCTGGCGCCCAGCTCACTTTCTGCTCTCTCATACAGTTCAGGATCCCCTAAGAATGGAACCGCCCAGCACATGGTGCCAGGGTCTTCTCACCTCAATCAACCTGACCAAAATAACCCCACATAGACACCGCCACATAGACACTCCCACAGGCTAACCCGATCCAGACAGTCCCTCACTGAGACTCTCTTCCCAGAGGAGTCTAGATTGTGTTGGACTGACAGTTAAAACCAACCATCACAGATACAATGAACTGTCATGCATTCAGTCTTCCTTCATGTGAAAACATTGTTATCACACGGTAGGAGGTCATAGGAGGTCATAGCTGAAACATAACAAAAGGGACCTACTGTAACCCTTTCCATTTTCTGGAAGTTACACCAAATATGGTCTTTTTCCTCAGGTGGCCCAAGGAGCGGGAGGATGGATACCATGCACATTAGCATGGCCAGCACCCCTCTGGTGAAGCACACTGCTGGGGCTGGATTCAAGGCCCACAGACCTCGAGTCATGTCCAAGAGTGGACACAGCAATGTGAGGATCGACAAAGTGGATGGCATCTACCTGCTCTACCTGCAGGACTTGTGGACGACTGTCATCGACATGAAGTGGCGCTATAAACTCACCCTGTTTGCTGCCACTTTCGTGATGACCTGGTTCTTGTTTGGAGTAGTCTACTACGCCATCGCATTCATTCATGGTGACTTAAACCCCAGGGAGCCCAATTCTAACCACACGCCCTGCATCATGAAAGTGGATTCTCTCACCGGGGCTTTCCTTTTCTCCCTGGAATCCCAGACAACCATTGGCTATGGGGTGCGCTCCATCACGGAGGAATGCCCTCATGCGATTTTCCTCTTGGTTGCCCAACTGGTCATCACCACCTTGATTGAGATCTTCATCACAGGGACCTTCCTGGCCAAGATAGCGAGACCCAAAAAGCGAGCTGAGACCATCAAGTTCAGCCACTGCGCAGTCATCACCAAGCAGAATGGGAAGCTGTGCTTGGTCATCCAGGTGGCCAACATGAGGAAGAGCCTGCTGATCCAGTGCCAGCTCTCAGGCAAGCTCCTTCAGACACATGTCACCAAGGAGGGGGAGCGCATTCTCCTCAACCAAGCCACTGTCAAATTCCACGTGGACTCCTCCTCCGAGAGCCCCTTCCTCATTTTACCCATGACCTTCTACCATGTGCTGGATGAGACCAGCCCCCTGAGGGATCTCACACCCCAGAATCTAAAGGAAAAGGAGTTCGAGCTGGTGGTCCTCCTCAATGCCACCGTTGAATCCACTAGTGCTGTCTGCCAGAGCCGAACATCTTACATCCCAGAGGAGATCTACTGGGGCTTTGAGTTTGTGCCTGTGGTTTCTCTCTCCAAAAATGGAAAGTATGTGGCTGACTTCAGTCAGTTTGAGCAGATCCGCAAGAGCCCCGATTGCACCTTTTACTGCGCGGATTCTGAGAAGCAGAAGCTAGAGGAGCGGTACAGGCAAGAAGATCAGAGGGAGCGTGAGCTGAGGAGCCTCTTGTTACAGCAGAGCAACGTCTGACCCCGGGGGTCCTCTGTGAACCTCCGGGGCTCCACTTCAGGGATGGCCTCAAAGGCCATGGCTGCTGTGAACATGGGACTTGAGAACCCTCTATCAGACTGTACAGATGTTCATGATCTATCTTTCCCTTCTTTCCAGTGGCTAGAACATTTCTGCATTTGAGAGGGCTCCTTCAAAGTGCCTGGTCAGAGGTGAACTCTCAAAGTTCAGACTTCGTTTCTCTGACATGGAGCTACACTTCACAGAGGCGACGGAAGGGCAATGGAGGCAGTGTCCTGTTGGGTGGACAGATGTGCATCATGTTGGCAGAGAAAGGAAATGCATTTCTATATAAGAACATTAGATTATCCTGCGAGGTATTTATTTAATCTACGCAACAGAGGTATTCCCTTGTATTCCTTTAAAACACGGTCCTTTTCCAGTTCAAATTGAATTGATAAGCTTTATCTGCAATGATGGCTCTCTGTTAGTACCCAAAAAGCATCTGGGTAATGGGGGCTTTAAATTCACAAAGTAGAATCATTTTGTTTTTACCTTTCCCAGTGGACTGAATGGTATTGACTGAAACTGATCAAACTGGGAATTAATCATTCTCTCTCTGAAAATATGCCCATATCCTGATTCTATTACTCCCCATACTTTTGGGGAGCAGGATGTACCAGGCTCTTTTTTTCCCATAATGTGGTTCACAGACCAGCCACACAGCACCATTGAGCAATATATCAGCAACATCACACATCATCAGGTTCCAGCCAGACTTACAGCATCAGTATGGAAAGCTCTGCTCTTGATGATGTTTTCAAAGTCACCATCTAGATCCACATTGAAAAATAACTATGTGAGGCCCCGTGTCCCTGTGGCCTCCAGACCTGGCCTTCTTTTTAGTCAGTCAATGTTTCTTTCAGTCATTTCAGCTCATTCTTGTGAACATATCTTGCCCACAAAGAAACTACATAAAATTACCCACTGGTGTTTTAAGAACAAAACAGAGCTCCTGAGAGTGTGACTGTCACACTCATGATAAGCACATAGCTTGATGATGATTTCAATGGAAGAAAGTGGAAGTTGTGTCGTAACAGATCCTGAAGTTTGTGAGGACAGGTGGGGCATTAAGACAAGCTGCCAAGGGACAGGAGTCCATAAACAGGAGGACCGCTCGGTGCAGGACAGAATTTGATAGTCTCGTATCAGGTGAAGCATACCCTCACTATTTAAACGCATCTCACAGAGCTCCATGTGACAGATAGCGTTTGTCTCAGGCAGAACTTAGAAGTCTAACACCCTGCATGTGTAGGGGAAGAGAATAAATGGGTTAGGATTGGTTAAACATGTAAAAGGTGGGTGCTCACTCATTCAAATCAAGACCAACTGAAAATTCACTCAAGTACAACGTGACCATAGACATTCAGCAATGAGTACACACACACATGCATGTGAGCCTGACACAGACACATACGTGTAAGTGCATCCCCTGGCTCTCTGGGAACAATCACAGGAAGCATCCATGAAAGATGTTTGCATTAAGAAAGCCCACCACTGTTTAAAAAAAAAAATGAACACTTGGGCTCAGAGAAACCGGGGGGACAATCAGCTGGATTCAACTGCTGGTGCCTTGATGGTGTGAACTACACACCTGTGATCTGACCACATTTGCAAATGTCCTTCTATTAAATAAAAGACATACCAATGAAATCTTTGGCTTGGAACTAACTTGATGTAATGAAGGTACTGAGACTCATGGAGGAGACGTTTGCAAAAGTTTGAAGAACAATTTCTGTGTATAAAGGGAGGATGTGGAGCTGGGAAGATGCTCCAGTGGGTAAGAGCACTTGCTTGGTAAGCATGAGGACCTGAGTTCAAATCCCCAGCACCCATATCAAAAGCCAGGCAGGACATTCCACACCTGTAACCCCAGTGATTGGGGGAAAGGGAGGCTAAAACAGGAGGATCTCTGGGCCTTAGTGACTACCAGCCCAGCTCCAGGTTCACTGAGACACCTCATCTCAGGGGATTAAGGCAGAGGGTGACAAAACAGGATACATGACCTCCTTCCCTGGCCTCCAGGCACATGCACAGGCACACACACGTGTGTGCACGTACTACACTCACACACACACACAAAGGAGAGCCTTGTCTTTAATTATTGAAAAGTATTTTCCTTTTTTGTCAATAATTTCACGGTTAGTCACATTATATTGCTCTGTTTAAAAAATGTTAGCTCTTAGGGTATTTCGACGTTAGCCATTTTAACCACCATGCATGCTGGTTTCCATGGACCACTGTGGTGTAATCCAGGAAACCTGGGTGGTTAGCCTGGCTTTCTGTTGCATTGTTAAATTCTTTCCACAAGATTCACCTCAGTGCTGACTTGAATATGATCAGGAACCAGCCTCACTTCTGTGGTATACAGCACAATGATAAAGTGTCAGACTCAAAAACAGCTTTCTGTAATCACTGAGCATATTATTTTCTGGAAGATTAGGGGTTCGATCATTGGATCTTCTGTAACAGTAATACATACAAAAATATATATCATCTTCAAAATCAACATGTGGATGAGGTATGCTGGCACATGCCTATAATCCCAGCACTTGGGGAGTTGGAAGTAAGAGGATTAAAAGTTCAAGGCCAGCCTTACTAACTTACTGAGTTTGAAGCCTGCTTGTACTAGATAAACATTTTCTCAAGTAATAATAATAATGATGTATAAGTCAATAAATCATATTGTAAACATAATATTCAGCAAGTAGTTCTAAAATTATGATTGGTTTAAAATTAACATTTCCGAGCCACACTTAACTGATATTACCTCAAACAGCATATACTCATGTTAATATGCTAGTGAAGGATTCAGGCAACGAACTTACTTGAGTTTCCCTGAACAGCCTTCTGATTGAAACAGATTCACGACAAATATCCAATTAAAGTAATCAAAATAGGGGCTGGAGAGATGGTACAGTGGTTAAGAGCACTGACTTTTTGCAGAGGACCTGGGTTTGATTCCCAGCACCCACATGGCAACTAACAACCATCTATAACCCCAGCTCCATGGAATCCAGCGCCCTCTTCTGGCTTCTGCAGGCATTGAACATACGTGGTACACTTACATACATACAGGTAAAAACACTCAGACACATAAATTAAAAATCAATCATTTTTTTATAAAAGTCATCAAAATAATGGAGTACTTGACCCCCCAAAAATGAGTATTTGCATTTTGCAGCATCACCAATATATTCTGTCTTTTCAGTGACCCTGTTTAAAATTGTGCTTCATTAGGAGACTAGAGAGTCCACAGCAGAGGATCAGTCATGTTCACAAGCCACATCTCCCAACAGCATTGGGTCCAGGCAGCAAAGGAACGATGTGCTCAGTGACCTTCACCTTGAGGAGAGGAGCCACCTTTGGGTCTGGGGGGGGGGAGTAAACTTTGATCCTCTCCCTTTTGTTTTTTCATTCATGGGGAAATTAACAGTGTATTTTTTAGGAATCTAAAATAAAAACAAAACTGTTAAAAGTTTGTTAGTGCACTAAATATTTCAATAAATTCAAACACTTGTTTTGTTTGGTTTTTATTTGAATTAAACTTCTAGCTTCAATTGGCTAGTATTTAGACATTACTGAAATTAAATTAAGCTCTAGTTTTAAAGTGGCCCTTTCTGCTCCATGATGGAGACAGAGGTCCTCCACCCTAGTGTGATTCTCTCTCACTTAGATGCTTGAAACTTCTGGAGAGAGGGGAGGGAAGGGAGGGAGAAGGGGAGGGAGAGGAGAGGGAAGGGGAAGGGAGGGTGGGAGAGGGGAAGGAAAACAAAGACAAGAGAAGGCTGGATCTGTGCTCGGAGCCCTCTGCACCTCACTGTACATGTCGGTTCTGTGTGTAGATGCCGCAGTTGAATGGTCAGACGCTTGACTGTGGGGTGTGGTGAAGACACCATCATCGATGGTTATCTTTCTTCCTACACTTTTCTTTGCCTGTTCAAAGGCATTGCAAGTGGAGGCTAGCTCATCCCAGCTTTCCCTGGTGGGATTTTTTTAGTTAAAGCTATTCCACTTCAAATCTTGAATTCCACGTTCTGTGCTGTGCACTCGTAATCTAGCATTCAATTACCTGACTCTGGAGAGCCCTGAGATGCACTGAATTTTCTTCCCCTGTTAAGACATACCTTGAAGGGTTAAAGCTTAGCATTTTCCTCCTAAAGATTAACTACATACACTCTGCCCTAGATGGACATCACTCTACTTTTAATTGGGGTCACTTGTCTCCTAATCCTTAGGCGTGTGGACAGCCATGAGTCATTACTGCTTTCAGAATGAGTGTGATTCCTGAGTAGCTCAGAAGGCTCCAGAGTTAGAATCGATAATAAACTAATAACTACTGAAATTTTACTGGGATTTTAAAGAATAAGGATTTACTTAATTTCTTGAGGCATTGCTATTAGTCAATAACTTTGTCTTTTATTGTTTTGTTTTTTTAAGGAATCAGAAACACAGTCTTTGACTTCACAGTAAGGAAGACAGTGGAAAATATGAAAAACACAAAGTAGGGGCTGGGAGCTGACTCAGTCAGTAAAGTGCGTGAGGACATGAGTTCGATCCCCAGAACCCACATAACAAAAACCCAGGTGTGGGGCCATGAGTTTGTAATTATAGCATCTGGGGCTCACAGCACAGCCAGCCTAGACTACAAGCCAGTGAGAGACCTTGTCTCAAAAAGCAAGGTGGATGGTAGGTATCTGTGGAATACTAACTGAAGTTTTCCTTGGGCTTCCACATATGTACACATGCACATATATATGTACACACATACGCACACACACACACACACACACACATATATATATATATATATATTCTGACCTCCACACAGAGGTTGTGGCACAGGCATGATGTATATGTGTGTTGAGAGACAGACAGAGAGAGAGAGAGAGAGAGAGAGAGAGAGAGAGAGATACAAGCTAATAGCTGATAAACTAGATTTCCACATAGGGGAACTTGTACCCATGGAAGAGAGCTTTATAGGACAGAAACGTGGCTATTCTGTTTTACATCACAGCAAGCTGTCTTTACACACCTCTGACTTCCCAGGCAAGTTTCCTAGGTTTTAAGAAATACCAATAGATGAAGTCTAGCTTCTTTCCAAACGTTTTCACTAAGTCCTTCATGGAAAAAGAAACAAGGCGCCATAAACCAGGCCTCGGCCACCATGTTCTTGTCCACCTTCCACTGTCTCTGATGTGCATGTGACTGACTCTCCACACTTTCTGTCCACCCCACCAAGGCAAATCATTTCCTGGGTTAAAAAGTAATGCTGGGAGTGGTGGCACATGCCTTTAATCCCAGCACTTTGGAGGCAGAGGCAAGCGTATCTTTGTGAGTTCAAGGCCAGCCTGGTCTGCATAATGAGTTCCAGGACAGCTGGAGCTATGGAGAGACCCTGTCTCAAAAAGACAAAAATTTTAAAAAATTTAAAAAGTAATCAATCCAAACTAGAAATTGTGCATATTTTAAAAATTTTTTAATTTATTTTTATTTTATTTTACCTGCATGTATGTAAGTGCGTCCATGACACACAATGCCCACAGAAGCCAGAAGAGGGCATTGGAGTCTATGGACCTGAAGTTTCAATGGTTGTTAGCTATCAAGTTTGGTTCCCAACCAGACTTCTGTCCTCTGGAAGAGCAGACAGTGCTCTTAATTACTGAGCCATCTCTCTAGTCCTAGAAACTGAACATTTAAATATCAAGAATTTGACAAGAGGAACTTTTAATTTTCAACTCTTATACTGTAGGGTTATGAAAGAGAACTAGAGCGGGGCAGTTGACTGGAGATGATACTTGATTCTTGATAAAATTACCAGATACAGAAAGTCAGAGGACATGATTCATATGTGAGCGTCAAAGTGTCCGAGGGTGAGGCTCAGTGGTAGAGCATGTGCCTTGTGCACAAAATCTCTGATTTTTATCCCCAGCACCGCATATTCAACTATTCAAATCTGGGCTGGAGAGACGGCTCAGGAATTAAGAGCACTGGCTGCTCTTGCAGAGGACCTGGGTTTGGTTCCTAGCACCCACATGGCAGCTAACAACAGTCTATAGCTCCAGCTCCAGGGGATCCGACACCCTCTTCTGATCTCCATGGGCACTGCACACGTGTGGTGTACTTACATTCATACACGTGAAAACCCACACATAATAAATTTAAATAAATAAATAAATAAATAAATAAATAAATAAATGAGCTTCAAGTTTATGGGTTGGACAGATGATGCAGTGGTTAAGGCACTTGTTGCTCTTATGGGGGACCCAAGTTTGGTTCCCAGCACCCAATATTGGACAGCTCGTAACTGTCAGCAACTCCAGCCCAAGGGGATAAGACACCCTCTTGTGGACTCTTTGGGCACCTGCACTTGTGTATACACACACACACACACACACACACACACACACGGACACACGGACACACGGACACACACGGACACACACGGACACACACACATACACATAATTTTAAAATAAGAATAAATAAAATCTTTAAATTTTACTGGCAGTCCTATGTATTTACCTGTCCAATCTGGCAAGCCCACAGAGAATACTCAAATAATCCCCAAATTGGCTCATTTCGGCTCATTTCTAGGAAAAAAAGAAATGCATACCCCTTTACCTGGAGGTTGTAGTATTCACTCAACTAACATCAGAGAAGGTGGTATTCTGAAAACACATTTCCCTGCCTATTCCTTTAACCAAGAACCATTTCAGTGGCATTTAGAACCTAGTCTATGACTCTCCTGGGCAGTGTAGAGCCTGTTTTGTAAGAAAGGCCTTTCCTGATTATGTGCCTAGCTCACGGGCTTCAAGCTACTCTCTTGGGTGTGGGGAGTCCAGATTCCAAGGCTCCAACTGTGGAATTAGGCCTGTGATTCTGCCTCCTCACCAGTGCTGAAGGGGCAGAATTGAAGAAGAGAGAGCCTTCATCCACACACATATGAAAATGTCACAGTGGAACCAATTTCTTTGCCTGGTAGCCTAAAAAATTAATTTAAAAATGTTTTAAATAGAATCATCTTAAAAGCCCATGGCAGTATTCTGTGTTTAGTTATTCATTCTGCATGGTGCTGAACTTAATTCTCATTCTATCCTGATTCAGGCTCAAATCTTATCTAGTATCCTGTCTCCCTACTCTGAGGACCTCTCACAGCACTCCTTGCAAATATGCAGGTGAATAAAAGGTAAACCACATTCAAAATAAGACTCCAAGGGAAACATTGCAATTAAGGACAGTATATCTCGTCCCTAACAAGTAAAAACCAAACGTCACCAACTCTGAGCTAAAAACTTAACTTATTAACACCAGTACAGTTACTGCTACAAATGGACTTGATATTGTTGAAAAGCTTTTCCAGGAAGGCTGGAGGGAAGCTCAAAGGAAATCATGTTTTCACTCAGTCCCTTCAACTCCATTCTTTCATCCTCCGTCACATCTGAGGACAGAGGATGTTGTACTAAACCAAATTGCTACAGGAAGCATGACTGTGTCAGGGACTTTTTACAAAAACAAACCTCCAAATGACAAAAGGAAGTTGTGTTTGTGTGTGGACAGAGCATTAAATAGCAGCCAGGAGAGGAAGACAGGACGGTAGCCAGCTCAGGTCTATTTTTGAGGAATTATTTCCGTAGACTCTCATGAAACTGTAAGGTTCCATAAGAAGGCTTTTCTGAACAGAACCTGAATTCCAAAAGCTCACACTCCAGGACTCAGCATAATAAAACTCCTGGCGGAGGGAATGGGGACCCAATCCCAAAGGACATTCAAATTTCAGGAGCAGACTGCTCACTACTTAGAACTCCTGGCATGGCATAGTCACCAAAATCTTCATCTCAATGCCTATAAAACACACCTGACCTTGGCACTGGCCCCCAAGATGAGTGGCCCTGCTCTCCCCTAATATTTAGTTACTCTTCTCCTGGGATTCGCTTTAGCAGAATAGGGACGTTTGTTTCCTGTGTCTCAAGGTTGGGCAGCTGTTTGGTACATGGAAAGTCCACACTGAGTGCCATGTGTATTCCTGTCACCACGGAGCCCAACCACACAAGGGATAGACAAGCTTAAATATATCCTCCAACTTTCTGCAAGTTCATGTCTCTGTCAAACCAGCTCATTTTCATACGTGTCCCCACCCCACCCACACCCCCATTCTGTCCTTGCTGTAAGGGATCACTGTGACCTGTGACAAAGCAGGAGCAAGCGCAGTAAGTGCAGGATGCTCTGGGTTTCCTTTTCATGTAGTGGGATGGTAACAATGTGGTACTGATGCAGGTGCTGATTAAGAACAGTCTGTCTTGACCTCAAAAATCTCTGAAATAAACTCACTTGAAATAACCATTTCTAGCAATAATAACCACAATAATTTGAGAATCACTAGGTACTAAAGACTATCTAAGGTGAGGCTTTTGTTGGTGTGTGTGTGTGTGTGTGTGTGTGTGTGTATGTGTATGTGTGTTGCTCAGAACCAGGGTCTTGAGCATGTTAAGCAATTGCTCTATCATTG